TCTCTCTCTCTCTCTCTCTCTCTCTCTCTCTCTCTCTCTCTCTCTCTCTCTCTCATACATACACACACACACACACGTGCCCTGCCTTCCTGTACATTTCCATCAGGAACGGGTTTCCAAGCATTTCCGAAGAACTGTGGGGAGAACATCAGCCACAGGGGACAGAAGCCAAACCAGCCCTGCCTGGTGCAAACGGACTTGCAGGTGGTTCTGAGGCTGTGTCGTTGAAGGTTAAGGGCCTGGTTTATGTGGAAGAGCTTATCTGTGCCATCTACCAGGGAAAGGGTATCTTCACGCAGCTGCTCCTAGTTCGCTCTCAGAAACTGTCCTCCCGCTGCCTCCAGGTCTCAAGGATTTCCAGGACAAGAGGCCTGGCGGTTGATACAAGGGTAGTAGCCCTTAACAGTGGCCCACATCTGCATGCAGCCTTAATAGTGAGCCAAAACAAGGGAGCGGTTTAATTTGGACACGAAGGTCTCTTGCAGCCCCAGCGCCTCTTACCCTCGCCCTGGGAGAGGGGTTGGGCAGCTGGTGGGATGCATTCTTTTGTTGGAGAAGACGGGGCCTAAATAGGAATTAAAGCTCCAACTAAGCTCAAGTGAAGCCACAGCAAACACAGCAGGAGGCTCATGAGTCTACTGCCATAGAAGCAGCCCTGGGAGCTTCTGCATCAAGAGACAAATTCCTGGTGCGTTGAATTACGCTTGGCCATTCAGGCAGCAATGAGGACGCCCCTCTTACCTCTGAATTCTCATCCCAAGAGCAGGTGATTTCAAGATCTCTTTCTGTAATTATCAGTGGGGACAAGGAACGATAATGGGGCACGTAACTTGGAAAAGAACAGGTGGATGTGTCCTCGTTAGCATCTGGACCACATGAAGAAAAATAACGCCTGCCCACAGGGCTTATTGCCACCTTGGCCTGGGAAAACAAGTCACCGTGATGGTTTCCAGAGCCCACTTCACTTTTGCCATCTTTCTTGTAATTCTCAGTGGACGTTTCTTCTTCCGATTGTGACCATGGAACTTGTCCTTCAAAAGTTCTGGTTAAGTGAGGACTTTCCTGAAAGAGGGGATTATTGAAAAATAAGTATTCAACCTCCTCCTCCTCTTCCTCCTCCTCCTCCTCACTTCCTTCCTCCTCCTGTTTCTCTAAATTCTCTTCTGGCTCCTCCTCACTATCACTTGCCAGGAGGGAAGGATTGTTGATGGTAGCTGAGTCCAGGGATTCAGAATTCACACTGTGAGCCTGCAGAGATTCTTCCTGCTTATCCAACTCCTCCTGAAGATCTAAGACACACAACTGAGCTTGCAGGATACCAGCCCAAAAAACAGACTGGGTAGCGTCATTATTACGTGTATCCTGAGTTTTCAAGTTTTTTATTGTCTCGAAAGGCTGGCCAGATCTCTCAGAGAAGTCCAAGCCCAGTTCAGGGTGCAGCAGTTCAAGATTATTCTGCATTAACACTGGAATGGATTTCTCAGAGGGGGTTTCCCTTCTGCAGAGAACACCCCCCAATCTGTCCTGTACAAGACCCAAAGAAGGAGGGGGAACGGCATCTTCACCCCGGCAGGCTCCAGAAAATGCAAGCGGATCCCAAGTCTGTTTCAAGGCCTCTCCCGGGTCCGAGCTCGCTTCCTTTGTTCTGTCATCAGATGACACATCCATCACGTCGGAGGTACTGGAGCGTCCGGGGTACTCCATTCTAGCATTGGACCGTGAAAACTGGCACAGGGGCAACTAGGGTTCCAGTCTGGTTTTCAGTAGGCCGAGAAATACGGGTCTTTTAAAAGCAATCTCCATCATTTCCCTGTTTGGCCTGCAAAAGAGAAAGTAGGAATATGTTTAACAGTTGCTCCAAAGGAATAGCTTCAGGGTCTGCTTCTGACTTTCTTTAATGAGAAGCAGTATCCAAATATTTCAAAGATTTAAATAATTACACAGATCAATTAGAAAAACAGCTAAAAGTTGCCAAATATAAACTGCTGGAAAAAACAGCCCCCCGTGCCAGTATAAACCCCTGCAGATGCCATCTCCTGCATTTTGCACATCAAGATTTAGGATATGGTCACAACAAATATAATACGGATTGGTGTAGATGAGAAGGGAAACCAAGTGGCTATTAAAGAGCCAGGAAGCGTATTCTTTGAACTGTTATCTTTCATGGCACTCTGGCCTTAGTCCCAACCCCACCCCCAATCCTCACTCACCCTTTATCAAACAATCTTTTAGCAGTGAAGGCTTTAGTCATCTTTAAGTGATGGGGGGTGGGGTGGAGAACTTGATTAGGCTGGGTAGTTATTTCCACTACTTACCACCAACAGGCACAATATGGGACATCCATATTGTTCAAATCCAAGCGGGGTTGCCTCAATAGCTGGACTAGGGGAAACCAAAAGAGGAAAAACAGTTTGATCCCTTACGTACATTCAAATTCAGCTCCTGTCTTTTTCAGCTCCTGCAAAAAACAGTGGAAAAGCAAAATTGCCATGTACGTTTATTTATCAAATTTACATAACTGCCTGTCTCACAAGAAGTGAACTTGCACCGCAACAGGCAAAGCAACGGAGATGGGAAATGAACAGAACTCCAAAAATAACAGAAAGTGTCTTAAAAGGTAATCAGCACGTTACTGATTTATGATGTATTTATTTTATTTATTGGCTGCATATCACTGGCTCCAGGTGGACTCTCTGGCAGCTTGCCAAAGAAGCCTGTAAGATTTTCCCTAATTGTTAGGACAAATTTTTTAAAAACGGTACAGGCAAAGCTGGCTGGGGAATTCTGGGAGTTGAAGTCCTCCAGGCTTAAAGTGGCCAAGGCTGGAGACCCCTGTTCTAGACGACGACAATGTCACTGCAAATGTAAAGACACAAGCCACCCTCCAGCTCACCCATGCGACCCTCCCCTCCCAGGCCTGTGGGGCTGGGGAAAAAGCCTCTCATTATCGCTGTTCAACTGCCCCCTTGGCAGTTTTGCCAGTACGCCTCTTAAATAAGCACGGCACACAGGGACTCCCCAGCCATTGCCAATTTGGCACCCACGCACCTTCCCTGTGTTGGAGTCCCTTGAGGTCATCCAACCCTGCAACATAGGGAGGAGGCTCAATTGGCCTTCTGGACAGGAGTGATGTCCCGATTCCAGGCTGACCAATAGTGTAACAGAGGAGAGTCCAAAATCTGTGCAAAACCTAGTGGCCAATGGCCTCTACTACCCCGGTAAGCTATTCCCGCTTTGCAGGGAGCGAATGCAGAGGGTTAATTATGGATTTTAAGAAAGATAGATTGGTAACTCAAAGAGCTTCTTCAGCGGATGAAATTATTCTGGGGCAAAACAGGTTCAAAAGAAAGTCAGCCTGTTTTGAGCCTCCTGGGGCAGAAAGTAAATTAAAAGAAGAGCCCCGAGTGATCGGACTAGGAAATTGTTCTTCTGTCTTGAGCTTTCATCCTAAACAGGAAGGCATAATAGCTCATTTATTTTGGCATTCCAGCAAATATTCCTGATGCTTTTAATCCTTCCCTTGAAACAGCAAAACAGCCCAAGAATTAGGCGTCTTCCTCCCATCCAGCTTTCCCGGGAGCTGCAGGGAAGGGATTCCCAGAGCTTCCCCTCCCCCCCACCCCGTTATGGCTTCAGAAAGCAGGGGCCCTTCAGAGGCTGCCCAGCCGGGCCCTTCCGCCTTGAAAAGAAAATTGAAACTCCCAGAACCCCCCAGCCAGCTTTGAGTTGCCGTCCTCCAGGCTTAAAGTGTTTTAATTATTATCCCCCGTTTTTAGGAGACTCTCCTCCTCCTCGGGAGCCGCGTCCAGGCCCGTCCTCGGCCTGCTCTTTCGCCCGAGGAAAGGCGCCCCGCCCCGGCTACGACCCCCGACCAAGGAGGACGGGCCCCCTTCCTCCCCTCCGCCCCAGGAGCCTCCCCGCTCGCGGGCATCGCGTGGGGGTCGCCGCCGGAGCCCCGTCCGAGGTCGGAGCCGAGGAGCGGCCGCCCCCTGCCGGGACCGCCAGCCCGGGCCCCGACGCCCCTCCGGAGGGGCGGCCTCGGCGGAGCGGCCCCGCCGGGCTTCCGGGCAGCCGCTTCCTCCAGGCCGGCCCGGCGGAGGCGCGGCTCCTCTCTGCGGAGGGGTCTCCTCCGGGGGGAGGGAGGGAGGGAGGGAAGCGGGCGGGCCGAGGCGCTCCGCCTGGGGAAAGCCCACCCGGGAGGGCCCGGCGCCCACTTACCTCCGCGGGCCCCGCGTCGGCGCCACCGGCCGGCCGGCAGCGTTTCCGGCCTCCGCGCCGCCCGAGCACAAGGCCCGCCTCGCCCGGGAAGGCGGCTCCGAAGCCCCGGGCCCCGCGACGCCTCCCAGGCCGGGCCCCACGAGCCCCGCCGGGGCTGGCGGTGGGCCGCTCCCGCTGCAGACCCGGCTCTCTCCCCGGCCCTGCGGCGGGGTCCCGGCCGGGGGAGGCTCCGGGGGGGCCCCGGCAGAGGCGAAGGGAGGCCGGGCTGGTCCCTGCTGGCCTCGGAGGCCGGGCCGGGGACGGGTCGGCGTTCCCCCCCCCCACCGTCCCCCGGGGCCCGCCCTGCCTTGGGACGGGCGCGGAATTGGGGGCCCTCCAGGCTCCCCCCCCCGAGTCAGGGGCTCCCCCGCAGCCCCAGGGGAACTAAGGTTTTTTTTTTGCCAGACCCAGAAGTGGGGAGGGCACCGTGGGAAAGATACAGGGGGCTGGGCAGGTGGGCTGCTAAATGGGGTCCATTGCAGGTGCGAGGAGGGGAAGGGGGGAGGGAAGGCGGCTCCCTGGCTGCCGTTGGCCCCCCAGGTTGGAAGGTCTACCCAGGTGGAGTTGGGGGCCAACTTGGTTGCTGCCCCAGACAGGCCCTCCCCGCTGTCTCTTGCTGGCCCTGACAACTTGATGGCTCCTGTCCTTTGACGCTCCAGAGGTTAGTCCTTTGCAGGGAAGGACGGAGGAGGCATCTGGCTGGGTTTCCAGAGCCCCCAACCCTTCTGGCGCCTCCTTTCTGGTCTCCTCTTTACGGTACTTACCTCCTGTCGGACCTTCCGTCCTCCAGCAGGGATCCCTAGGAATCGGGGCTGCTTCCCCAGAGCCCCTGGTGGGAACAGGGACAGGTCCCGCTTGACCGTTTGCTCTTTTTTGGGTTTTTGTTTTTTACATGATTTTGCAAGAGAACCTGACTCAAGGCCAGTAACTCCGTGACGCCGCCGACCTCCCTTTGAAAGGCCCGAGCGTTCAAAGGAAAGCAAAGGAGCAGCAGGGGAGGCTCTCTTGCCTTGCAAAACACTGTGCAAATGGAGAAGTGCTGCTTTGCCTCCCGCACAGGCTGCATGGCTGCTGCCTGAACCGGAACTTACAGCTCTGGGGTGAGCAGCACAAACCACAAGGGCCCCTTGAGCTACTTTTAAACGGAGGAGGCCGTGAAAGAAGCAGGAAGCCCAAGCAGAACCGGTCTCGGACGGCAAGGCAAGGGAAGGAGGGTGAAGACCGGGTCTCCTCATGGACAGCAGTTTCCTTCCACAAATGCAAGAAACACTAGGCCAGTCCTTCCTTTGAAAACGGTTTGGGGGATCTGCTTCAAAACACACTGAATCGCAGTGCCTCCTTAGAGTGTGAAGCTCCAAAAATAAATAAAAAAGCCATTTTTAAGTGAGCTGCTGCACTCACTGCGGCATGTTTTGAAATACCACTTCCAAATCTTTTCCAAAGCGCATATAAGTTTTACTGAGCAAGCACTGAACAAAGTCTAAAACGATTCAGTAAAAATTGGCATGAAAATGATTTTCCCATTCCTCTCTCCAAACCACAGAGTTGGAAGTTTCCTTGTCCTAATCTTGCTCAAGTAGGAGACCCTATAATGTATCATTTCAGACAAATGGCTGCCCAGTAATGAAGCGCCCACAATTTCTGAAGGCAAGCTATTCCAACTTGGTATCACCTGCAAATTTGATGAGTTTCCTTTCTATTTCCTCGTCTAAATTGTTTATGGAGATATTGAAGAGTACTGGACTAAAAACAGAAGCTTAGGGCACCCCACTTCATAGTTCCCTCCATGTAGATGTAGCTCCCTTAAGGATAGTTTGTCAGCAAGTTATGAATCCATCTGGTGGTGATCTACCTATCCCACATTTCTCTAGCTTACCAGCAAGTAGGTTTCACACTGTCAAATACCTTACTGAAGTCCAAGTATACTATGTCCACAGCATTTGGCTGGTCCACTAATTACTTTGTCAAAGAATGAAATAAGATTTGTTTGGCATGATCTATTTTTGACAAACCCATGTTGGCTTATGGTTATAATTTTGCTTGCTTCTAGGTGTTCTCATATCTTATTATATTTATATAATTTATAGCATTATATTTATAGCTTATTCTATTTTCCAGGAACCTCCCAGGTATTGATGTCAGGCTGACTGGTCTGTAGTTTCTTGGATCTGGTTCCCTCCCACCCTCCTTTTGAAGTTGGGAACCACATCAGCACTTTTCCTGGTGCTTCAGGATCTCTGAAAGAGACGGTTCTTCAATGGTTCTGAGATCACATCTGCCAGCTCCTTCAAAACTCTGGGATGTAATCCATTTGATTATGGTGATTTGAACTCGTCTAGAATGGACAGGTATTCTCTTACCATTTTCTTGATGGTTTCAATTTGTATTCCTAGTCTTTCTTTTACGCTTCTGTTTTTGGTAGGTTGGGCTATTTTTTCTTCTTGTGTGAAGACAGATGCAAAGAAAGAATTAAGCGGCTCTGCTTTCTCCCTGAAGCCCGTCACTTTCTTGCCGCCTTCTCCCATTAGTGGACCAATTGTTTCCTTGACTTTTTTCTTGTTTTTATATGTTGAAAGAAGCATTTTTATTATTTTTGACACTTGTTGCAAGTCTTAGTTCATTCTGAGCCTTAGTTTTCCTGACTTCATCTTTGGGTGTTCTGCTGGTATTCTGCCTTAGTTATATGTCTCTTTTTTCATTTTTTTATGCTTATCCCTTTTGTCTTCCAGTTTATCAGAGAGTTCTTTGTGTAACTATTCTGGTTTCTTTTTGGATTTCTCGGTGTGTGTTTTTAGTGGTATTGTGCTGGACTGGGCATTTATGTTCACAGTTTTTATAGATTCCCAAGCTTCTTGATTTGTTTTCTCCTTTAAGATTTTCATCCATGGAATGCAAACCCTGAGTTTGTTGAAACCAATTCTTTTAAAGTTTAAGACACTGGTTTGATTTCTATTGCTTGTGTCTGCAATATTTTGAATTCCAATATGACATGGTCGCTGTCTCCCACCTTCTGTGTAACTTCAAACCCCTCTATCATTTCTTCTCTGTACGGACTTATTTGCCTTCTCTTCTCTTCCCTCCCTTCCCCTCCCCTCCCCTCCAGCAGTTCAAGCCATTATAGATGCTATGACATCACCACACTAGCTTCCCTATAAAATTCCGTGTATAATTCAAGGTGTATTATCATCTATCTCAGGGGTTCCCAATCCACAGACCTCGGCCCACTACCAGGCCGTGGCTGATTCGGAACCAGGCCGCCACTCACGCAAGTCGAGATGCCCGCCTGCATGTGTACACACTGACCTGCTGCTGGCACAGCCTGGTTCTCTTCCCTCCCCTGCAGCCAGGCCGCCAAGCCTCAAAAGTTGGGCTCCACTGGCCTAAATAGCCCTTCCTGTCCACATTGTCTCCGCTCAGCCTGTTAACAACATCCAGCCAAATGGGCAGGCTAGTCCTTCCGTGAAACAGTGCCCCCTAGCGGGAACGAGGGACCATACATTCTGCTGCAGGGGCCTCCCCTATATGGAAGTCTATGGACCTTCTCAGTCGTCCCAGGTGTTTTTGGCAACTGGACTTCCTTGGCTTATTGATTATGCTGCCCTGGAAAGTGGCAACCCATGATTCCCAGTTCGAGTCGTGGATGAAGACCGATCTGTAACAGAGCTGGCATCAGCAGAGATGGAGGCACACCTGGATCTTCTCACCTGGCTCTTAAGGTGAGGAGTTGGGAAAAGTTGCCTCCCTCTGCCATCACAGCCTCGACTCTCCCTGTCCGTCTGTCCCCCCCTCCAATTTGACAGGATGAGGATTTGTCATGGGCTGCAGCAGATCTAGTTTGCATAACATGCTGGGGATTCAGGCTCCACAACTACCTGTGTGTGGCTAAGACAAAATGAGGTGTTTTTTTTAAATTGAATGCGTATTTTGAAATCATTAGAATTAAATGTAGTCAATACAGTTACTTCAAATGTATTTAATTCCTTTCTGGGTAACCAGAGCTCATCAATTGGCTGGCATATTTTGCACTCGTAGCTTTAGAGGTTTGCAGATAATTTTGTGGCCGCAAAACCTGCATTTCCGAATCCAGAAAGTGAGCTATGAATATCCCGCGAGCTCTAGAAACACGGTGTCACCGCTTTCCTTCCGCTTTTGTTCTCCTGAAGAGCGACCCCCCCTGCAGAAATGCTTAGGGAGAGGAGCAGTTGGGAGACGCTGCCCTCCAGGAGTGGCCTTTGTCCTTCGAAGGGAGAGGTGGGGGAGGCCAGCTAAGATTCGGGCTGAAAATAGAAGTCCACCAGGTGAGAAGATCCTGGGTTGTTGATCAGCCCGATGGGTTCGTTGGCTTTGGAGGAGGTGCAGAGGAACCAGCCTGGGTGGGCAGCTGACTCGAAACGCCAGACTCCATCTTTGTTAGACATGAAGAAGGTGAAGCGGGTGGAGGCCTCTTTATCTTTGCAGAGATCTCTGATGTTGACACTCTGAGGAGGAGAAGAAAAAGGGTTTTTAGGGAAGGGTTAGCTCATCTTGCAGCCTACTCAGGTCTGAAAAATGACCCTCAAAGGGGCTTCCGATAGCAAAATCTAGGGAAGCTATTGATGGTGAAGGAGCCCTAAGCTAGCATACGTGCTTCCCTGAGGGAGAGCATAACGTGGACTCTTCTTAATGAAAAATAACCCGTAGAGTAACCAGGATCCTATTTCTGGAGCAGAGAGAGAAAGCCTAGCCACTTCCACACCGTTTGCTCTCTTGAAGCTCCGTCCTTGAGAAACTACTAAAGTTCTCAGGAGAAGCTGGATTGGAAACTCCTCTGTGGGTTTCTGTCTGTGGGAATGTATGTGAGAAGTGAACACAATAAAAAAAAGAGGAAGTGCATCTCTCCAAGTCCATCGTGAAGAAAATTGTTGGTGTCATTGGCTTCACTTTGAAAGCTGAAGAAAAGGAGACCCACCAAAAACTGGGGTGGGTTGAGGGTTCAGTCTGGCCTCCGCTGCTCTCTTGCACTTATGATGGGTCACGTAAAGCTGTGCTTACCTGGATGTAAGGTTGGCTGGGAGAGAGGCTCCCACACAAACACACACCCCTCTACAGGATGTTGTAATTCCTTCCTCCCCCGTGTGCATACACAGAGAGCTCTGCTCTCCAATCACTGTGTGTAGGACGCACCAAGTGGCAGCTCAGGTAAAAGTGCTCTGGGGCATCATCAGACGTTGCTTCTCACCTCCAACTGCAGCTCCGGTGGGGTCCCAGGAGAGCAGGCCAGGCTGCTTTTCCCACCCTGAATGCTCAGGATGACCGGGAAGTTCTCTTGGCCAAAGGCCCGGTTGCGGATCCAGAAAATCTTTTCTGGAAGGGGGAAGAACAAGATGGGAGAGAATGTGAGCAGCCTGGAAAAAAAAATCCAGCTTTATTTGTGTCTTTCCTCTTTATTTCATGGATTGGTTTACTTCAGCACTTCATCCCCCCAGGCAGAAAATTCTTTCCTCCATCAAGTTTATTTTTGGGACAAATCCTGCGAAATAAATTAGGTTGAGAGCCATTCAGGAAACCTCTGTGGCTGAAAATATTGCTATTCTCTGCTCTCATGAAAAATCCCATGAACCTCAAGTATCTTTTTCTGCAGTAAATGGCATTCCCCTCCTCCTCCTCTGAGTCAAACCAACCCTTTTTTCACAAGTGGGGAGCTTTCTTATACATCAGGTCTGGAATAAAGACTTCACATTAGGGGTCCAACCACAGTGAAGTTGGGGAAATGGGTTGAGAGCAGCATTGTATGCTGGGGGCAGAAAAGAAATGAGGCGCTGCAGAAGCCAGAATGACAATGAAAGTGCTTCCCCTTGATTTTACTTGACATTCTCTTTGAAAAAATTCTAGCAATAAATTAGTTATTTATATTTGCCTATTTGAATCAAGCAGACACACTGAGAAGAGTGACAACCCAAAAGAAATAGAGCGAGCCATGCATATGTGCATCATGATGCAAACTACCCCATCTCACCATAACAAACCAGTAAGTTGCTAGGGAAATCCTCCAGCCTCTTGAGCTCCTGGGGGTGGCTGTCTGACCTCAGAAGAAGGGCCGTGCCTAAGGGCACCCTCCTGCCTACCGTCCCTGTCCTATTGTCCCCATTTATTCGTACCTATTTCCTATATTCTTTCTCATGTTTATACTTATATCTATTATCTTGTAAGCGATTGACAAATCAAATAAATAAAAAATAAATGAAAATAGAATAGAATCTAAAGCTGCAAAGGTGATCTTATCCCTCCTCTATGCAGTTTTAGGAAAGACTCACCTTCCAGTGCAGAGTTGGGAGCTTGCAAGTATCCGGCTATTAGTTCATTGTTCTGAAGGTAGAGGGATTTCTGGTTTACATCCCAGAGTCTGAAATGTCAAGATTCGTGTTTTAAAAGAAAATTTATACTTTTTTTCCCCCTCTCTTCAGCCATTCACCTCTACATTGGCTGTTGTTGTGGGGAAAATAGGAGGAGGAAGGTGTATTAGGTATATTTGCTATCTTATTTATTAAAATGACAATGGTGGAATAAAAATAAATAAAAAACCTTATGCAGCAGTCTTTTATTTGATAGGGAGGCCCAAATGCTTCTTGTTGATCTAAGAACCATCCTACTTTTTATAGTGTGAGCTGCTGTTCATCTACTCCATTTGCCTATTTGCTCAAATCTCCTTTGGGCAGGAAAACCCCAAGCAAAGCCCTCATATTCGTAATGGGAAAAGAGCCAGTCTGCAATCTACCTTTATATGCCACTTGCTCCGTTTTACGCCACTTGCTCCACTCGCTTGTAGTTTTGGGTAGCTTATGAAACCTAAAATCGATGCAATTCTAAAGCGTTAAATAAACACCATAAAAACACTAGTCCAGCTGTCCCTTCTCTAAAGCTTCCATTCAGTGGCAAATCCTCTTATAACACAGACCTCACCATTTTCTTTGGAGAAAATGGTGCTATAAATAGATGCTATAGTAAATTTATTCATAGCAGGACCTACAATCTTGAGTCTCACAAACAATCTCAAAATTGTGGGGCAGAATATTCTGGTAATGCCTTGAGAGAGTAGAGGAGAGACATCAGTGCATCTCTCTTTCCAAAGCAAGCGAGATTTTTGGCCAGAAGAAAATTGCTTCCATTCATTCAGGGGATTCGTGTCTTGAGAAAAGGGCCCCCCTTTGTCTCAAGAGGCCGGGCACCCCGTTTTCAGTGAAATGAGCAAACAGGTGCTGGGCGGGACTCAGCCCTCTTTTCTTTGGGGCTTCAGGTGTCTTCCTGGAGGCAGGGAGAATGGGGAGAGGGCTCCGGGAGGTCGGTGTGCCCCAAGATATGGAAGGCTCCCCGGGGTCTCCCCCTTGGCCAAGCTGCCCAAACGGCTCCCCCGGGGCACTTACCGCGACTTGAAGACGACTCCGTGAGCCCAGGTCTTGTTTCCAGCTGCACACAGAACAGAAAGCAGGAAAAGGGTCGATTTATTTGTTGAGTACCTGCCAGACTCCATTGTGTGCAACAAATGGACCATCTCTGCTGAATCAGCCCAGCTGGCTGTTTTATAAAGTCCATGACAACTACACAATTGGAATGTACGTTATTTCCAGACGTGACACTTCTGTGACATAACCCGTCAAATTTCCAACAACTTTCGTGCCTGTTGCAATTCATGTCGCAACTCTGGGTGCTGAAACTAAACTTCCCCAAATTAATAGAATGGGTTCCTATTGCTAGTACATACAAAGGGGAAGTGAGACCACAGCACATAAATGAAAGCAACTTTACGTTGTTAACGAAGAATGTAGATATTTACAAAAAAAAACTGCATTCAAAATAAATTAAGATGGGAAGTGCAGCCAGGAACTCTTATTGCCGAATAATGCAGAGTCCTCAAATAAATAGTGTCTCCTTTAAAAAGTCATTAACTTTTCTTGGCATCCTGTTATTCCAAAGACCTCCTATTTCCAAAATGCAAATGAGCGAGCATAAAACGTGTTTCCTTGTCTGAGCATCACGCGAGTTGAATTATCTCCTTCCAACGGCCCCACCATACCTGACTGAGCCAGCTTCACTTCTCCCTGTGAGTTTCCCATGGCTTCCCCTTCTTTCGGCTTCAACTGGAACCTCTAAGGGCTCACCCACCAAGCTACGGAACAGCCGGAAGTATCTGAAAAGGCGTGACCAAATCTCCAAGATTTGGGTTTTAAAATGTAGAACAAAGGTTGCTTTTTGACAAGGATGGCTCTGTTAAATGTGGTACGAATTGTAAACATGATCATGCCAGAGAAATCTTATTGCGTTCTTTGACAAAGTGATTAAATCAGTAGACCAGTGAAATGCTGTGGACATATCCACGTGGACTTCAGTAAGGCATGTGGAAAAATAGATCACAGCCTGTTTCCAGGCAAGACCTACATCTGCAGGGAGGGAAGCATGCAGAGAGATACCCCGAGGTTCTGTCTTGAGCCAGTGTCTTCATAAATGATGGGGAACTCATCAGATTTGCAGATGACACCAAGTTGGGAGGAATAGCCACCACTTTAAAAGTTGGGCTCAAGAGCCAGAAGGACCTTGGCAGACTTGAACGCTCGATCTCATCCAACAAAATGAAATTCAGTGGTGAGAAAAGTTGTTGTCCAAAACTTGGTTCAGCCTGGCACAGAAGCCAATCAGAGCCAGACATGAGAGACAAAACTTTTGAAAATCTTTTATTGAAGTGCTTCAGCAAAAGGGTTCCTGTCCAATTTGGGAGCCGAGATCCTGAACAAGAGCATAGCACGATCTTTTATACCGTTGATTTCCAGAAACAGGGAAGTAACATTTCACAAAGCTATTACCTTTTTTGGAGTTCTACCTTGCTTTTAGTCTATGTGCCTGCTTGTTTGTGGAGTTGCGCCTTGTTGAGCATACGTGTCATTTTGCCATTATAGAGTTATAGCTTGTTTAAGCTCTATGTGTTCCTACTTGTGGTTTCTGCTGCTTATTATCTTGTTGCCAATCTTGTAACTTCCTATCTAATTCTGAATGTGTGTTGTTACATTTCCTTTCTCTCTGGCACATTGTGTTGCACGTACATTCCTCTAAATTCTTATTCCTTCCAAGGTTCCCAACTCTGACTCCTGACTAGTCAGATTAACAGAGTTGGAAGGGACCTTGGAGGTCATCTAGTCCAACCCCCCCCAGGCAGGAGACCCTACACCATTTCTAACAGACGCCAGTCCGGTCTCTTCTTCAACTCCAGAGCCACTGGGTGTTTCGGCCCTTCTCGACCTCCCAAGGGAGGGCCAAGCCCGAGACAGGCCCGGCGGCTGAAGGGGGCCCTGAGGGAGCCCGCGGGCGTCGGGCTGGGGGCGTCGGGCCACGTGACAGGCCGCGCATGCGCGCTCGGCGTCGGCGGGGCGCCATGGCTGCCGGGTGGTTCGTGGCGTTGCTGGGCGCGCTGCTCTTGGCCGGCCGGGCCGCGCGGGGCCTCTACTTCCACATCGGGGAGACGGAGAAGCGCTGCTTCATCGAGGAGATCCCGGACGAGACCATGGTTATCGGTGAGGGGGGCGGGGCGGGGGGCTCTGGCGGGGCGGGGGGGGGTCGCGCCCTCCCTCCGGCTGACCGCCGCCCCTCCCCCCTCGTCTCCTAGGCAACTACCGGACGCAGCTGTGGGACAAGCAGGCCGAGGCCTTCCTGCCCTCCACGCCCGGGCTGGGCATGTTCGTGGAGGTCCGGGACCCGGATGCCAAGGTGAGGCGGGCCCGGCCTGTCCGGGCTGGGCGGGGGGAGGAGGAGGGGGGCTGACCACCCCCCGCCCACCTGACCCCCCCTCCCCCGCAGGTGATCCTCTCGCGGCAGTACGGCTCGGAGGGCCGCTTCACCTTCACCTCGCACACCCCCGGGGAGCACCAGATCTGCCTGCACTCCAACTCCACCCGCCTGGCGCTCTTCTCGGGGGGAAAGCTGGTAAGAGCGGGGAGGGGGCAGGGGGAGGAGGGAAAGTGAGGCGGGGGGGGGGGGACAGGGGGGGGGGCCCCCCCCCAGGGTCTGCCCCCCCCAAACACGCCCTGGCTCTGGTGGGGGGGGGGGTGCAGAGGGAGGAGGGGAAGTGGGGAGGGAGGGGGACAGGCCCCCCATGAGGCTCTGCCCCCTCCCCCCTCCCAAACATCCCGTGTCTTTGGTCCAGGGAGGAGGGAAAGGAGGAGGGAGGGCAACAGACCCCCGTGAGGCCCTGCCCTCTCATCCCGTCCCTCCCCAATGCTCTATTTAATTTCGTTGTACGAGGTGCAATGACAATAAAGTAAACCAAACTAAACTGTGTTTTTGCTGCAGCGGGTGCACCTGGACATCCAGGTAGGGGAGCATGCCAATAACTATCCGGAGATCGCGGCCAAGGACAAGCTGACGGAGCTGCAGCTGCGAGCCAGGCAGCTGCTGGACCAGGTGGAGCAGATCCAGAAGGAGCAGAACTACCAAAGGGTGAGGCTGCCAGGCGGCCCCGGGGAGGGGACCTCTTTGTGCTGGCTCCCTGGGATGGTGAGGGAGATGGGCTTTCCTGCTGCCAAGGTGCTTGCAGGAAATGGACAGGTGTTTGAAAGGCATTTGAATAGAAGTAGCTTGAGCTAGTAGTTAGGCTGTTGGGCTGAGCTCCTAGCTTGGCTGCTTGGTTGGAAACGAACGGTGTCCGAATGCCGACGAAACGTTTCCAATGGCCAAGCTCGGAGCTCTCACCAGCAGCCCCTTGACAGGTGTATTTCTTGCCCGTCAGTGCAGCCCCGAATTTCCCTCCAAGGTAAAGAGTGGTCTGACATTAGACATCCTGGGCATGGCATTGGAGAAACAAATGTTTTGACACCAGAGCGACTAAGGTAGCTGAGTTTGGGTCACCTTTGGACACAATAAGAAAGAGGCCACGCCGGGATTATTATCCCAGGGCCCTTACAAGTTGCGTTGGTCTGGAGCCAGAGGGACGAGGTTGCTGTGTAGCATTTTAAGCTATTATAGATGGAAGTGCATGAAAAACCCCGTAGTATTCTACTCTGGGTGAACTTGCTGGCTTTCTCTCTGAGTGGGATGTGAGAATGGCAAAGTGATGCAAGATGCTCTGCGAAACTGGAAAGGTCCTGCGTCTGAAGTAGACCTGGGTCAGGTGGAGGGCAGCGGCTGAATGAAGCGTGACAGGAGGAGTTGGGCCCGGTGTGTTCTTGATGCTGACCGCTGTGTTCCCTCTGCAGTTCCGAGAGGAGAGGTTCCGCATGACGAGTGAGAGCACCAACCAGCGGGTGCTCTGGTGGTCCATCGCACAGACGGTCATCCTCCTCCTCACAGGCATTTGGCAAATGAGGCACCTCAAAAGTTTCTTTGAAGCCAAAAAATTGGTTTAACGTCTTCAGCATCGCATAGGCCATTATTCATCAGTGCCCCATTGTTGCTTTCCATTGAGTTTTTTTTTATTTTATTTAAGTACTAAACCGAGAAAGAAGCACCACAGACAAGGCCCCTGTCCCAATTATACAAATCCACAAAAACATCTCAAAGGTTACCATATTTTTGTGCTGTGAAGCTAGTAAGGATAGCTTGCCTCCAGCGTCGAGCTTTCCTGGAACATTCCAAGAAGCTGCTTTACAAAAGACGGAGGGTTCCTTCCATTCCTTTTGTAAGAGCTGCAGTTTGCCTAAAAGCTTCTCTTCTAAAGGCCCCTGTAACTCCTGAACTATTCAACAGAATACAATTAGAGGGAAAAACAGATTTACGTCGGAACTCTGCAGCAAGCCTTCCTTGTTCAAATGTCATTGGCATAAATATTGTTTAGCATTTCAGGTGGCCAAGGGATCGAAGGATTTTTTTTGCAGCATTTTCTCTTCAAAATCCTTTTTTTTAAGTTCTCAGTTCTCTAAGCAAAGATTTGTTCTAGGCTGGAGAATCAATGCAAATGAGGGAGTAGTAGAAGTTGCCCCCAGGTTTGTTGTAAAGGTCAAATAAAGAACCCCCTTAAATTCATAAATAGTTTGATTTAGAGCTACTCTCAGATGGAGATACTCCTTGAGTAGAATAATGGTGTCATCTCTTCTTACCAGCCTTTCTGTAATTTGGAAGTAGATCCAGCTACGGAACAACACAGTGCTGCAGTTTGGCAGCAGAATTGGACCTCTGAAGTAGTAGGGCTGAAAGGGGGCATTTTTTTCCTTCTCCGCTTGCCTGGGCAAGTTCGTCACGAGGCCCGTTTGTTACAGTTTTGGATTGAAATAAAGCTTTTTTGAAAGAGGCTTTCTCTGTTTGTTGGTGGGAAAAGTAGGGAAAAACAAGGGTGAAAACCTGCTGAACTATAAAAGTCCACAAATTCTTCACTGGTGGTAGAAAAAAGGCCAAAAAATCCATTTAATCACTTCCCACAAGAGGTTTTAGGATAATATCCCAGTATTTCTCAGTCTACAGGTAGTTACTGACTTACAACTATTTGTTTAGGGACCAAAATCGCAACGGCACTGAAAAAAAAGGGACCTATCGCTTTCCACACAAGTGTTGCAGCTTCCAGTGATCAGAATTGGGATGCTTGGCAACTCGGTTTCCCAGAGTCACATGATCCCCTTTTGCAACCTGACCGGGGGAAGCAGGATGTTACTTCAGTGATTCGCTTAACAACTGGCAAGTCATAAAAAGGAGCAAAATTCATTTTACAGCTGCCTTGCTTAATACATTTTGGGATGAGTTGTAAATCGACTACCTGTAGATGTAAAAAACCCATAGCTTCCTTCTCCCATCAACAGGTAAAGGGAACTGTGTTGTACCCCTGATACAGCCAGATCCTTGGAATTGCGTTGCGCTCTGAAATAAGCACTTGGCACTATAGCCCTTGGACTTCTATACTGCTCCACAGTGTTTTACAGCCGTCTAAGTGGTTTACCAGAGTCAGCCTCTTGCCCTCCCTCCCCCAACCATCTGGGTCCTCAAACCTTGGTGTTCTCTGAGGTTGAGCTTACAATTCCTAGCTTGGGTAATGAAATGGGTGGCAAGGAAACAACCAAGCTTACAAAGTACCAAGGAACCCTTATTTTTAACCCCCAGCTACAAATATTATCCTTTATTGGCCTCTGAAATACATCCCAAGCGATCAGGTGGCCTACATGGGTTTGTGTCAAGTAGAGAAGGAGCCTCCAACCTTGGCCACTTCAAGTCTGGAGGACTTCAACTCCCAGAATTCCCCAGCCAGCAAAGCTCAAAGGGAGTTGAAGTCCGCCAGGCTTAAAGTGGCCAAGGTTGGAGACCCCTGAGCTAGAGGCTTTGAAAGCCCCACTTTCGTTGTTGTTAGTCGCGAAGTCGTGTCCAACCCATCGCGACTCCATGAACAATGTTCCTCCAGGCCTTCCTGTCCTCTACCATCCTCCAGAGTCCATTTAAGCTCATGGCAACGGCTTCAGTGACTCCATCCAGCCCCCCTCATTCTCTGCCACCCCCTTCTTCTCCTTTTGCCCCCAGTTGTTCCCAGCATTCAGTTCCTCTTCTCCAAGGAGTCCTTCCTTCTCATGAGGTAGCCAACGTCTTTGAGTTTCCTCTTCAGGACCTGGCCTAAAGAGCAGTCGGGGTTGATCTCCTCTCAGACTGATGGGTTGGGTGGTCCGAGGGACTCGCAGGAGTCCTCTTCTCCAGCACCCCAAAGGCACTCAGCCTTCCTTAGGGTCCAACTTTCGCAGCCCTACTCGGTCCAGGGCAATAACCTCGGGCTCTTTCCAGGAGCACCTGCAGCCTTCTGATCCCCTGGGGAGCCCAAGGTGAGGAAGGGCTGCTCCTGGCAGCCTCACCCACCCCAGGTGCCCCCCAGGTGCAAGGGGGTCCGGGTTTTGCAAGGTGACACCTGAGCAGCTGTGGGTCAAAAAAAAAAAAGGCCGCCATCCCCTGGGAAATAGGGAGCAAAGCCACCCGCAGCATCAGCGGAAGGATCACAAAGCAAACGGCCTTCCTGCCGCCCGGAGGAGCCGCCCGGCCTTGCACTCTCCCAAACCCGGGCAGAGAAAGCCACTTCGCAGCGGGGACCGAGGTAGAGGCGCTCTCGGGGTGTCCGGGATGGCTGCCGTTCGTTCGCCCGCCCGCCATCAGAGGCTGCTGTGGCGGTGCTGGGCCGCTCCGCTCGGGCGGCTCTATGATGGCGCCCTACGACCCCCGCCGCCACTTCCGGCGCATGCGGAGGGGGCGCAGCAGCGAAAGCATGGCGGCGGCGGCGGCGGCGGGGGCGGCGGAGGGGGGCTTCGGCCAGATGGGCCTGGACGCGCGGCTCCTGCAGGTAGCGGGCGGGCGGGCGGTGGGTCTGGCGGGCCGGGGCCCCTCCGGCGCGGGTGCTGACCGGGCGGGCTCGCTGTGTTCCCGGCAGGCGGTGGCCGAGCTGGGCTGGGCGGCGCCGACCCCCATCCAGGAGAAGGCGGTGCCGCTGGCGCTGGAGGGGAAGGACCTGCTGGCCAGGGCCCGGACGGGCTCCGGGAAGACGGGCGCCTACGCCCTGCCGCTGCTGCAGCGCCTGCTGGCCGCCAAGGGGGTGAGTGGCCGGGGCTTGCGGGGCGGACGACGGGGCGGGGGGGGGTCTCCGCCGGCCTGGCCTGAGGCCCTCCCTCCCCTCCTCCTCCTTCGCAGGCGGCGCTGGTGGCGGAGCAGGCGGTGCGGGCCCTGGTGCTGGTGCCCACCAAGGAGCTGGCCCGGCAGGCGCTGCGGATGCTTCGGAGGCTGGCCGCCTACTGCGCTCGGGACGTGCGCGCCGTCGACCTGGCCGGCCCGGAGGACCTGAGCGCCCAGAGGTGAGCAGCAGCAGCAGCAGCAGCAGAGGCCGCATGGCAGGAGGAGGAGGAGGGAGCGGCTGGAAGCCCCTCCGTGGCCCTTCAGTTACTCCCGCCTTCCCCGTGTAGAGAAGCCCCCTCCGCCCCTCCAAAGAATGAAATATTTGGGGGAAGACTAAAAAAGGCAGAACGTTATATTTCCCCCAAAGGAGAGAGAAAAACACCTCTTACACCAAGGCAGGAAGCAGCCCCAACAGAATAGGGATAGGGATAGGAATGCAATAGAATAGGGTAGGGTAGGGCGAGTAGAATGGAATAGGAGGAGAGAATAGAATAAAATAAGAAAGAATGGAATAGGAATAGAGTATTAAAGAGAATAGAATAAAGAATAGAACAGAACAGAATTCTTTTATTGGCCAAGTGTGATTGGACACACAAGGAATTTGTCTTGGTGCAAATGCTCTCAGTGGACATAAAAGAAAAGATACATTTCTTGAGTCAAGAATCATCTGGTACAACACTTAATGATAGTCATAGGATACAATAAGCAATCAAGTCATACTAGGAAACAGTCAATATAACATCCTCCAGAACTTGTCTTTCACTTGAGGGATGCAAAGCCCCACAGCAGGAAGTTTAGCGCACTGGATGCATATAAGGCTTCCTAATGAGAGAATGGATCAGAGGCTCATAATAATCCCCTGCCCTTTCTCAGCCCACTTTCCTGGGAAGTACCATCGGCCACGGAGAGAGACAAGAGAGCCGGTCATCTGTCCCTCTGAAATAGCAAAAGGTTGGCAGAGCGATGCCATTTTTCTCTGCGCATCTAGAGCCCTGGGTTGTTCTGGGTTTCAGTCTGTATATTTTCTTTTTTGTGGCCATAATGGAAGACTTCATTCCACAGATGCTTTTCCCCCTTTTGGTTTTTAGAATGCATTAAATAAATTTTAAGAGAAAAATGTGCTTTGTTTGAAATCTACTTAAAATACTTAACTTTTCTCTTTTTCTCAAATTTTTTATTTTTTTGCATTTTTTTCTTTAAGTTGTGTTTACTTATAATTACGTGGACTGCGTATATATGTTTGATTCTGTCATATTCTCATCATATGCTAAATAAATAATTTGCTTAGTTTGTATTTCACTGTTATAATCACAATTCTTAATACAAATTATATATAAAAAGAGGAAAGATTTCCCATCTGGATGATGCCACTGAGTTGGCCTTGGCTTATCTTCCCCAGCATTCTTTCAAAGAGAGTTACCTGTGATTCCTCCAACCTTTGGTCTTTACACCTCCAGTTTTTTGTCTTGCAGACCCCTCTTGATGGAGAAACCAGATGTGGTGATAGGAACACCATCACGGGTTTTGGCACATCTGCAAATGCAAAACTTGAGACTGCAGAATTCGTTAGAAATTTTGGTGATAGATGAAGCTGACTTGCTTTTTTCATTTGGCTTTGAGGAAGACTTGAAGAATCTCCTCTGGTGAGTTCTGATTCTGAAGTGCTGTGATTTTATGGTTTATAATTTCTATTCAGAATTTTGAATACAGTGGTAAAAACTACGGTACAAACTGAGAGAAAGAGAATAGGAAAAAAAATAACCAAAAGCATAAGAGAAAATGAAGGAAGAAAACAGAACGGTTTTCATCCCGTCACATTGGCCCATCCCACCTGGTCAGGTAACTGACCCTGTCAATTAGGTGGGGTCCAGGATGAGAGGCTTCCCAGCTGTTGCCCCCACCCTGTGGAACAGTCTGCCCTCCATCATTATTATTTTTTAAGATTCTTTATTTTAGCTTGCCTTAGCAGCTTTCTTGTTGTTGTTTAACAAGAAGAAATTCCCAAAATGGTACAGACCTTCAAAAAAGGAAATAACAGGCTCTGGTTAAAGAGAGCCTCTTTTAGCTTAATCAAGATTAAGGTAGTCCTCAACTTATGACCACAACTGAGCCCAAAATTTATGTTGTTAAGTGAAAAATTATTCTATGAGGGTAACTTGGGAGTGATCTAAATTTAATGAGTTAATTGGAGTTGGTTGGAATTTTATTGGTCCGAAAGTGAACTTTGTTAAGAGGAAGTTAAAAAAAAAGTTGTATTAGAATGTTTTGATTTCAGAAATGTTTTTAGAGAACTAGCTCCATTTATTCTGTGATAACATTAAAGCTATTATTTGTTATTTTAAGCAAGAGTCGTTCACTCAAGTATTCTGTGACCATTGTCTGGGAGGCGTTTTGTTCTCTTCTGCTGGTGGGGGGGCATGGTGGGCTTTGGGTTTGATCTGCCGTCCCATTCGTGTGGCTGGTCTTGTTTCCTTGCAGCCATTTGCCCAAGATCTACCAGACCTTCATCATGTCAGCTACCTTCAACGAGGATGTGCAGACACTGAAGGAGCTGGTGCTGCACAACCCGGTAAGGAATGGCGGGTTGGCATTGGGGGAGGAGAGGGCAGGCCGGCTTGGTACCTGCCTGGTTCACAGGCTTTGTACTGCAGATTGCCCACCTTGAGTTGGGTTTGGCTTCGGCCCAGCTGTGGTGGCACAGGGCCCGGAAGAAGCCACTTCCTGTGTCCTCCTGGTTGTGGGACCGTCTTGTTTCCATGCTCCTCTTACGCAGGTGACTCTCAGGCTGCAAGAAGCACCCTTGCCGGACAGCTCCCAGCTGAGCCAGTTCCAGATCAGGTGCGAGACCGAAGAGGAGAAGTTTTTGCTCCTCTATGCCCTCCTGAAGCTTTCCCTGGTGCGGGGAAAAGTCCTCCTCTTTGTCAACAGGATCGACCGCTGCTACCGCCTCAAACTCTTCCTGGAGCAGTTTGGGATCGCTGCCTGTGTCCTCAACTCAGAGCTGCCTGCTCAGTCCCGGTGAGCCTCAAGAAAGGGGAGCCTGGGCTTGGGGGAGGAAGGGCCGACGTCTCCTGGACAGGGAGCAGGAAAGACCCTCCTTCCTTGCTTCGGATGCTTCCGGATTGAAGGGGTTACCCAGCCAGCTGCTGCCCCGGGGACGCTGGCACACATTCTTCGAGGACCTCAGGATGACAGCACACCATTAATGTTGCTAGTTTTCTGGGGCTTGATGATCTCTGGGGTTTGGGAACAGCCCTCAAAGCCTGGTCTGGCCTTCTTCCAGATGCCACATCATCAGCCAGTTCAATCGGAGCGTCTACAGTTACATCATTGCCACAGATGAGCAGGACCTGGCAGAACCAGAGGTGACTAGCAAGAAGAAGAAGAAGGGCCCCAAAGGAGAAAAGTGAGTCTGTTCCCCCCCAACACACACACACACACACACAGAGAGAGAGAATTCTTCATATTGATAATGGGAGGATGGCTGGAAGAGGCCTCGGGTTTTCCTCCTTGGCTCCTTGATAGCCGGGCCGTCGTAGCCTCCTTGGACTTGGCCTCCCATCTGTGCCTCTGCTCTGCCTTCCAGGGGCCAAGATCAGGAGTACGGGGTCTCCCGAGGCATCGACTTCCACAACGTGTCCGCGGTCTTCAACTTTGATTTGCCCCCCTCCTTCGAATCCTACATTCACCGAGCGGGCAGGTCAGTGGCCAAACCCAGGAGGGTCTCTTCCGCAGAAATGTGGCAACGCAGGAATGCCCAGCCCCTCCCAGGGCTCTAGCCTGGCACGGCAGACGGGGGGCAGTTTGGGGAAAGAATCTGGCACATAATTTGGCTTCTGGGTCCCTTTGAAAAGGCAAATTCTATTGCTTTTGGGTCTTTTTTTGTTTTGTTAATATGGAGTGGAGAAGGCTTCCATGTTCCACACAACTCGTGTTTCCTTAGAAGCATTTCCCTGCCCTCTTCCCGCCTCAAGTCTTGCTCTCTACTTTCCCCAGGATGGTAAATAATCCAGCAAGAACTGAGGTTCTTTGCTCTGGGTGCAGGTTTCTGGTTTTAATTGGAAAATCCACAAGCGTTTCCACTTAACACAAGTCTGCCCTAGGTCTGTTTGGCTTTTCCTATGACTAAAAATAAAATCACTTGTCCTTGAAGAGGATTGAACAACAAAACAATTTCAAACAGGAAGATAAAAACCATCTAAAATCCCCACAAAGATTTATTTGGGCACAAAGTGCAAGTGTTGTGCTTGAAGTTGCACAGCCAGGAGCTTCGGAGGAAGTTCGGGTGCTCTCGCGCTCCTTCTGTTTCGACTGAAGGCAGCTGCCGCCTTCGTTCTCTGAGGCACGAGTGGGGTTCCTCTTGCTGGGCCTTGAAGCCCTCGTCCGCCTCCCTCCTGTCTCAGCTGCTGACTCCCTTGCAGGACGGCCCGTGTTCAGAACCCAGGCACAGTGCTGACCTTCGTCCTGCCCTCGGAGAGGCTTCAGCTGGCCAAAATTGAAGAGGTGCTTACCGCCGGTGGGTGAGGGAAGAATTACGGGGTCCAGGGAAGGTGGGGTGGGGGGGTGTCCCCCCCGAGGCTCCGGATAAGCCAGCCCCAGAGCCCAGAGGGCCGGGGGTCTTGGGACCTCCCTCCCTGGCCAGCTTCGGGGCCCCACCCTGTGTTGTGAGCAATGCGCGGCCGTCCCCCCCCCAACTCATTCCTGTGCTTGGTCCTTCAGAGAGTGCAAGCAAGTGCACCTTGACGCCCTACCAGTTCCGGATGGGGGAGATCGAGGGGCTCCGCTACCGCTGTCAGGTAAAAGCTGCTTGGCGCGGAGGAGGCCAAGATGGGTTGAGTCGAAGAGCAGCTGCGGTTCCCACAATTGCAAGCAAGACCCGCATCGCCACTGCGGTCTCCTGTTGTGGGGGGGGGGGGGGGGGAAGCTGGGCCCCTTGCTGAGAACCGGGAGCGTTGAGTCTTTGCCATCAGGGCTTCAAGGGGAACTTTCTGGAAGAGAAAGTTACTTCCTGTAGCAAGTGGCCGCACTCAAGCACGAGAGGGAACCCAGGCCAAACAGAGGCGAAGACAGAGAGACATGAGGGAACACCGTGGCAGCCTTAATGCAGCAGCCTGAGCAAAATGTGGGTCTTCTCCTGACGCCTCTTGCTGCCTCCCCTCCCTCCCTCCCTCCCTCCCTCCCTCCCTCCCTCCGTCCTATAGTGGTTGGTTTAGGGCAGGGGGGTCTTCAGACTGGACAGCTTTAAGGCTTTGTGGACTTTCAACTCCCAGAATTCCTCCTCCAGTCATGTTAGCTCAGGAATTCTGGGAGTGGAAGTTCACAGGTCTTAAACTTGCCAAGTTTGAAGACCATCTATCCTATCCTATCCTATCCTTCTATCTATCTATCTATCTATCTATCTATCTATCCTATCCTATCCTATCCTATCCTATCCTATTCTATTCTATTCTATTCTATTCTATTCTATTCTCTCTCTTCTCTCTTTCTCACTCTATTCTATCTCTCTTTATTTATTCCAGGGGTCTTCAAACTGGACAGCTTTAAGGCTTTGTGGACTTCAACTCCCAGAATTCCTCCTCCAGTCATGTTAGCTCAGGTATTCTGGGAGTGGAAGTCCACAAAGCCTTAAAACTGTTAAGATTAAAGACCCTGGCCTTAAAGAGTGTGAGATAAAGTGTGCAATGGATGAAGAAGGGAAGTTTTCTATTTTCCTGGGGGTCCAGAAAGAGGGAGGGGCAGCACAGCTGGCTGGAGAATTCTGGAAGTCCACAAGTCTTAAGCTGGCCCAGTTCGAAGAGCCTTGGCTTTAGGGCATCAAGCGTCATTAAGGCCCTGGCACCTTCTCTCCTCCCCGCTGCCCTAGGATGCCATGCGGTCGATCACCAAGCAGGCCATCAAAGAAGCTCGGCTCCGTGAAATCAAAGAAGAGCTGCTCAACTCGGAGAAGCTCAAGGTACCCCGCGTGGGGCAGAGAAGCTGGCCCCAATCCCCCCCCATCTGCCCCCCCCCCTTGCTCCCTTCTCCTTCCCAGGGGCGGCCTCCGTCCAGCTGACCCGCCCGTTGGCCCTTTCTCTCCCAGACGTACTTCGAAGACAATCCCCGGGATCTGAACCTGCTGCGCCACGACAAGCCCCTTCACCCGGCCATCGTGAAGCCCCACCTGCGCAACGTCCCAGAATACCTGGGTAGGGGCCACGCTTTGGAGGGGCGTCTCCGCTGTTGGGGAGGAAGGGCCCCTCTGCGTCCCGGACAGGCGTGGCGCTTGCCCTCTTTCTCCTCTTCAGTGGGCTGGATCTGGGTTCCCCAAGGAAGTGGAAGCACCTGGCGGGCTGTGGTGTGCAGGGCCAGGAGGGGCCGGGGGGGGGGCCGGGGGTTGCCGCCTTTCTGGAGGCTGACGGTCTCTTCCTCTTGCAGTGCCTCAGGGTCTGCGACCAGCAGTGCCAGCCCTCGCTGGGAAGCGCAAGCGGCGGAAATGCCCAGCCTCCACTAGCAAGGTTGGTGGTCTCCTCTGCTGCCGCCCCCATTCCCAGGGGACCGACTGCAGGGGCCAAGCCTGGTGGCCAAGGGCTGGGCTGGAGCTCTCGGGTGGTCCCGGGGGGGCTAATGCCACGACCTCCTTCGCAGGGCCAGCGGAACCCCTTGCACAGCTTCAAGAACACCAGGAAGAAGTTTCGGGCCTTGGCCAAGCCCAGATAAGCCACCGGAGCCCTCGGCTCCCACCAGCCGCAGGATGCCTGAGAGTGACCAGAGACCGGAGGTTCCCCTTGCCCAGAGGTCAGGAGGGGGCCCTACAGCTGCTCTCGCTCTCTCTCCCCGGTCCCTGGGCTCCTCTTGCCAAACGGCCCCTGGCTCAATAAATTGCGATAGCCAGGACAAAGCCCCCTTTTCATGGGGCACCTGGTGCCGATTCCTGACTCCGGCTGCGTCTCTGGGGGGCTCTCGGGGGGGGGGCCCCCAAGGGGGGGGGGGGGGGGGGGGGAGGGCATCCCGCAAACAACTCGGCCTCGTGGGAAGCAGCGCTGTGAATTTCCAGGAGCGTTCACAGAGCAGAGGCGGCGTGCGCCCTCTTCGCATAAATAAAACCAACCGGCGTGGGGCTGCGGGCGTGACGGTGCGCAAGGGCCGCTCGGGGCCTGTTGCCAGAAAAGGTTCTTCCCAGCAGGCTGGAGCAGCCGGCCCCAGGGCGCCTTGCCAACCAGCAGGCTGGGGTGGCGGCTGGTGGACTCTTGCCCGGGATGGTGGCTTTATCAGGCGTCAAGGCCAGGACAGGATTGTAAACCTTGAAGTGGCAGGATAAGAGGCTCAGGGTGTCGCCTTTGCGTGGCCTGGCCTGATGTGACGTTGCACAGGAAGGATCAGGAGGGCAATCGGGGCCCCAGAAGTGGGCCCCCCTCCCCCCCGGAGGGCTTTTGCTGGGCTCCACCTTTTGTACAGCCCCCCCCCCAATTTCACCTAGCAAGGACGGGGGACTTCGTCATTGTATTAAAGGGCCAGAGCTACGGAGATTTCGGGGCGATACTTCAGAGAGGAGGAAGGAGAAGGCTGGGGCAGCCTTTGGCAGATGCTCTGTCAGGAAAGCAGGCCATCCGTTGGGGCTTGGCGTCCTTGGAAGGAGAAAGGCCCACCTTCACCGGAAGATCACGCCTGGATTTAGTGCTTGTGGGGGGGGGGGGGGAACGAAACCGCTTCATTAAATGAAATGAACTTTAATTGCCAATTAAATTTGTTCTAGAAATGGCTAATATGTACTAATGTGTAAACATAAGTAGTTGAGGCTGTAATGTTATCTTCTACCGTGCTAAAAAGAGTCGGAAGTCCACACTTTTACCTCACATTTTCTTTTCCCTTTTTCTTTCCCCTACTTTCCCATTCATTTTTATTTTCCTTTGTGTTTTATATTTTCAGAAACTAATAAAAATAACTAGCGTAAAAAAAAAAGGCTTGGCGTCCTTGGATGAAAGGGAAAAGGGCCATAGAGGACACCGAGTCCGGCCCTCCTCGCTCGGCCCAAGAATGCAAATTAAAATGGCATCCCAGACAAGTGGCTGGCTGGCCTCGCTTTGAAAAGAGTCTCGCAGCTGATCCAATATCCAAGGAGGGTCAAATCTTCCACTTTTGCTGGAAAGTGACAGGTGGAAGCCTTTTTCTATGCCCTGTTGAAATAGGTGTAGCTTGTTCCAAGTGGGTCCTGTCAAAAATTACCTGTGAAAACCCAATTCTGCGGAAGTGAGCAATGTCCATCAGAGCCTGTCTGGTTCTTTTCTGTCTGCCATAACAGAATTCCATTCGTTTTGCGAGCTTTTAGGTGCTTTACTTTCTTAACCTTGCCTGTCCAGTGGTAAAAAAAAACAAAACCCACACTTTATGGTAGTTTCCTCCTGGGCCTGAAGTTCCAGCAAATAACCATTGTCTTTCAGTTCCTCTATTTTAAATTCCCAGAGCCTGCTCTTATCTTTGTTGATGATCGTTCAAAGCTATCCCATTTTCTTTGGCAATAAGAATGACGTGGCTTTCTGGAGATAAGTGCCTTTCGCCCATCATCCTCAACGGGAGGAGACTACACACCAAAGATCCAACTGGGATCCTTTGTTTACAACTTTCAAGCTCGCTGTGGCCTTGCACCTGCCTCCCCTTATCTCGCTGTTCTCTCTGGGTTGTGTCTTTGACCATGACCGTTGCTCTCCATTGCCCTCCTACGCTGCCTAACGGGGAAACCTGCCCTTCCTCTGTTGGGGCTGCTTGACTTGGAGGAAGCCATTTCCCCCCTTTGCTCTCCCTTCCAAAGTTTGGGCACTGAGGCCATAGAAGCCAAACCGGTATTTTGTTGCAGGCCGGTTCTTCTTTTAGGGGTTTTGGGCAGGTGCATCACAGTGCTGGCTCGTGTTTTGCCTCTCAATTCATCGAGACCCCTTCAACCATCAAGTTCATTTTTGCATTTGCTGCTATTGTTTTTTATTCTAAAGGAGCTGCAACTTTCCACCAAGTGCTGCGCTCACATCATGGAGGAAAGTTCAGAGACCAAAATGAATGTGTAAGGCTGCAGATGTACAGATGAGCAATTTCTTTTTTAAAAACACCACCATTGTGGCAGGATCTGTCTGGGAGTTATGGAAGACCTTTTGTGCTCCTTTCCAACACAAGTTGCCTCGAGGGTGGATTTCAATATTTCTTGTTTCAATTGCATTTGTCAGGCCAAAAAAGCTCCCGTGGAAAGGAGGCAGCCTCGGCCCTCCTTTATGCCATAATAGGGGGTATATGAGGAAGACCTGGTGCAAGATTATAAGCCTCCAGGGTCTGGCCAGTAGGGTCAAGGCAACTGCCCCTATCTGTCCTCTTGGTCAGAACCGTGCTTGCTGCTAAAGCGTGCCTCAGTTTCCCAGATGGGTCAAAGCCAAGATTCCAAATAAGCCGGGGTTGCGGGGGCGGGGAAACAGGTGGGTGGGGACTAACCCAGCATGGCGAGAACCCCACTGCTATCTCTGGGTAAATGATAAGCCAGGATACGATGCTGGTGCAGCCTGATTGGTGTGTGTGATATCTTGAAAGTAGATGAGCGAGCGAGCGTGCGCCTTGGCACTCCCTTTTCTCCGAGGAGCCCTGCCGGTAGCCCAGACTTGCCAGGATGCTGCGGGTGGCCCTGTTTGCCGTAGTGGTGCTCAGCACCAGTCTGGACCTGAGGACCGAGGTGGGTGAGCGGTGATGACAGCAGCAGCGGAGGTTGTGGGTGGGAAGGGTTGAGTAGCAAGGTGTCCTTTCGAGGGACCTGGTGTCCCCAACTACAAGGCTTCTCCTGAACTCCCTCTCGGCCCTTGGAAGGGAGGGACACTTCAACCGGGGGGCGGGGGTGTCAATTTATCTGCAAAGGACCACATCCTCCTCTAAGGCTTCCCTAAACAGACATATCTGTAGTTTGGGGCAACTGGAGATACATACACAAACAGAAAAGTCAAGTATCCAAACACCCAACTATCCTTTGGAGTTCGTTCAGGAGGAGATGGTCCCCATATGGTCCAGTCATAGGCAAGCGGTTCAAGTTATGAGGCTCACTTTTTACGGTGAGCCTCAAGAAGATGGCAGGCTAAAAAGTCTCAGGAAGCAAGAGCCGTATTGGAGACCAGCATCCTGGAGTGAGGAAACCAAGGCTGGCGTGCTTCTTCCCGTCTGTGGGAACGCAGGAGCATTTTCAGCTGTGCTCCTGCCACAGAAGACGAAAAGCATCTTCTGGAAAAGGGCAGAGCCGGCTGGCACCAAGGGTGGGGACGGGATGACCTGCTTCCATGACTGATGTTCTCTAGAACTGGGTAGGACAAACCTCGGCTTTCCCTTTAGAGTAGGGCAGGACAAGCCTCCCTGCCAGGGGCTGTACTTAATGGGGGGGGGGGGGGGGATATATAACACATGTGGGTAGGGCTAACTTGGTGGCAAATCTGAGGAAATGGGTCTTTGAAATGCCACATTTGTATTTCAGGCTAATCCCGTGAGGTGAGACGTACATACATTTAATAAATAGACATTTCCACTTCAAAATGCCAGGAAATCAGTTTTCAGTCACGATATTTAGAGATGGTTCCAAGGACAACCAAATGAGAGTTTGGGAGGCTGCGTTGAACCCCAGGCTGCGGGTTGCCGCCCACCCCTCCCTCAGAAGCCAAGGCAGGGTGGAAAA